GAATCACGTGGCAACGCCGCGGCTGGGTATGCGTTTTATGGTCAATTCACCTAAATGAAAATTCACTCGCAGTTTCAAACATTTCTGAGTCGGTTGAGAGACACAATATGAAAACTGATTGATTCCAGGTGCAATGACTCTCTTGCAAAACATGTGCAAAACTAACGAAAAGAAAGGGGGAAAAGACACAAACCTATTCCCTCCCCCAAAAAATATCGGATGCATGTATGCCGACGGTTGAAATGTTGTTGTCATTTTTCTTATTTTTTCCTCTCCGTTTCACATTATTTTAATTCGTTTCTTCTTCTTGTTAGTTTTTACCTGTAATTTTTTTTATGTTTTTAAAGGATTGAAAATAGAGTTGTCTAGCTTCAAATGTCTCGGTTTTTTTACATATTTTTTTTTTATCCTGCAGCTGTTTCCCCGGATTGATTTGAATTTAATGATGTATTCTCAAGTTGATCAAGTGCTTCTTTCACTTATTTTTTTTTTAAAAGCACGTCTGTGATGCACCTAATCCATTTAAACATCACAGATCGACGGTAAACCTACCAATTGGACGTATTTCTATCAAACGGAACTATGTGCATTATGACGTGAGCCCTGTTATGCACATATGCTTATGGGTCTCAGGGCTCATGTCTCAATGCACATAGGTCTGTTTGGTAGAAATACGTCCAATTTACGTACTTACCTCGGTTTGCGACGCCGCAGACTTCCTGCAATACTTTACTCTTTAAACGAAATAGTACTCAACTTTAATTCTTGAAAAGCTCCTTGATTTTTCTTCTTTGTGCAAAGAAAGCTCTGTGGGAACTTCAGAGGAATGATACTGATTTGTTCTCCTTCAAAAAAATAAAATGGGGCCGGAGGTTTCTTAACACTCCAAACGAGATACGTGATTTGGTATAGTTACACCTTCGATATCCTCTAAGCCACTTAAAATCACAAGGTGAAACCTCAGTAAAATTGGCTCATTTGACATCTTCTAACGCCATAATGGCTCTGATATGAGTTTTGTATAGCAATGTAATGTGTCGCAGGCTACATGCGTCACATCACTGTGGCATGATAGCGACATCAGAACGACATTCCCAAGTAGCAGTGATCGCGATAAATAGCGATTTTATCGGTTGATTATCTCGATTATATCGGTGGCAATTTATTGCAATATTATCAAAAAAAAAAAAAAATGCGATTTATGGCAATTAAATTGCTTTGCATCGCAATTTTTTCTTCAATAAAATCGCGATCAATTTTCGTCGTTAAAATTGAGATTAAATCGCCAAATATCGCGATAAATTGCCGGGCGATAAAATCGCGATTTTATTGCGATAAGATCGAAGATAATCGCTTAGATGTTGATGATCCTAGCGATTTTATCGCCGATAAAATCGCAACATATCGCGATTTTTCCGTTGAAAAATGCTACTTGGGTTTTTGGTGAGATAAAAAGTCTGAACCGCGAGTCTGGTGTTAAATGTATGGATTTCATTTTGCAAAACGGAACCAAGAGCATTCCGATGTCGCTGAGATTGTACAACTTTTTTAACCTTGCAAATATAAATACTGATCATCTAAGCAATTTTTATCTTTACTCTCGATAAATTATAAATTCCAGACGAAAAGTACCTTTGTAAAATTAATTTTTTGCATCGTTTCAGTATTTTATTGCGAAGAATGTAAGTTGCACAATCCTAGCAACAGAGAAATGCTTTCGGTTCCTTTTTGAAAAATGCAATTCATACATAGACGATTCGCTTCCTGTAACCGTGCTCTGGGGTTTAGGATCTGTTCCTTTGATTCACGCAGCCAAGGATTGATTCAATCAAACCGAACCATAGAGAAAGCTCCATTGCCAGAACCGTGACACAGTGGATCGCGAGTCAATTAGAGAGGTCGGACATGAAATTTTTGACTAAAACGGCAAAGTTCCATGTTTCTCTTGTCGCATTTTAAATACGTATTAAGAGGTGCTTCAGAAAATTTCACGAGGAAACCAATGGAGCCACTTTTAAAACCTCAAAGTTTTGTATAAACGGAGTTATAAGCGTTTAAAGTTTCCAAATTTTGTCCGACCTCTCCTATCGAATCAACCCACTGTGCGTGAGTGCGGTTACACGATGAGGGAACCAAATATTTTTTTTTTTTTTTTTTTTTTTTTTTTTTTTTTTTTGTTAAAGAAATCAATGAGGGAACCAAATATTACCAACGATGTTGAAGATCCTTACGGTTCATCCTCGTACGACCGAATTTTGTTTCTCAGTGAAGTGATTTAATCTAGAATCCGTTTGATGTCTCACTAAAAGATTCATTCATGATGACTCACGTTTACTAAGACTGCCGTGATAGCGAAGAGAGCAGTAAGTGCAAAAATGAAGTTTTGGGAAAACGGCCTCAAAAGCCTCCGACCGAAAAAAAATATTGAAAGAAACCTCCGCTTCTCTATCAAATTGCCACTAATCGTCCGAAAGACTCCTAGAAATCGTTCGGATGATTAAAAATCGACTCATTTTATTTCAATTACGTAAAAAGGGTATTATTATCTTTCATGCTAGGCTATTTTTAGGCAAGACAACTGTAAGTGCTATCCTCTGCATGCTTTCGTGGTTGCGTTCTGGACACACAACCAACACGTCTTCAGGTTAGAAATTCGCATAAGAGCGTTGGCGGGTCCAGCAAATTGGCAACATTGTCTTTTCTCCATCTAAACCTATGGAAATTTATCGATTCTTGTAGGGGCTAGGTGCTCCTAGGAGAATCACCCTGGTAAAAATAAGCCATAAAAATTACCTATAGCCCGGCCATAGGAAAAATCCTATGGTAAATTGAAACATGGCCTTTTGGCGATAGGAATTTTCTATAGCCGGCGATTGAGAATTCCTATGGCTGGCTGTAGGAATTCTCAATCGCCGGCTATGGAAAATTTAAGGGTTCGCAGCTAGGGGATGGTGGAAAAGGGTTAATTGTGGAAATAAATTTTGAAACCATGAAAAATAAGAATAATGAAACTACTGGGACGTAATTTACCCGATTTTGAAGAGTAGAAATTTTTGCCTACCTTAGGGATTGAACCCGGGACCTGCCTAACACAAACCGAAGACCCTAACCATTAAGCTATTCCAGATGCTGCCTTTATGTGACGCAAAACCGATATTTAACGTCGATTTGAACGGGAAACTAGGATATTTTCAATCTGCCTGGATTTGTCCGTGTATTTATTTTACTTTTTACTTTACTATATTTTTTAATTTTATTTTATCGTTTTACTTGATTTATTTCCTTGCTGACTCTATTTTTTTCTTCACTCTATTTTATTTTTTCAAGTACTTCATTTTTTTCTTAAATTATTTACTTCTTATTCCCTTATTTTGTTTTATTTTTTCAAGTACTTCATTTTTTTTCTTAAATTATTTACTTCTTATTCCCTTATTTTGTTTTATTTTTTACTGTAATTTATTTTAATACTTCATCATGTTTACTTTTTAAATTCATTCTATTCTTTAACCTCATTTAGTTTCTTCCCTTATACTTTATTTTTTCTTCACCTCATTTTTTTACTTCATCTCCTTGCTCCCTCTAATTTTTTACTTCAATTTAGTCTTTGACTTCATTTTATCATATATTTAATTTACTTTATTTGATTTCTCTTCTGTTGTCTCTGTAATTCTATTATTTCTGCTACTCTATTATTTCCACTATTCTATTCTATTATTTACTTATTACTTATTTTTATTTTTTCTCTTTAAATTTTTCATTTTCTCGTTGGATTGGTAGGCCTAAAGGGAAGAAGAGACAGTATATAGCGCTAGTGCGAGAGAGAGATAGCCTAGGTGCGCGTGACTTAGGGCCCAACTGAAGCTTCGGTGCGGAGTGCTTTGCGCACTCATGCGACACATCTCAGCACCTATGCGCTGAATCTCACTCCCCTGTTCATTCTCAATCCGGATTTTCCGTTGGACGGAATCAACGATTTTTAACAGTGTATATGGCCGATTCAAATAAAAAAAAATCAAAATCAAATCAAATTTTGGAAAAGTAAGAATTATTGAGAAAAAATTGAAGAAAAATATTTTTAGAAAAGAAACCAGGATAGATTCACTGGCGCTTATGATGATTTTCGAAAAAAATTACTTTTTTAATTGCCCCTCGTGCACACGCGTATTTCCAATCGCCGGATACTGAACATTCTGTTGCCGGCTACAGATGGCTGTTTTGGCAGCGGATGGTTATTGCCGTTATCCACAAGTGGCCAGCTATTGAATGTCCTATCGCTGGCTATTCACGGCTAACGCCGGCTGCAGAACGTTCTATCGCGGCCATTCGTGGCTATCGCTGGCTGTAGAACTTTCTCTCGCCAGCCATTCGTGGCTATAGCCGGCGATTGAACGTTCTATCGCCGGCCATTCGTGGCTATAGCCGGCGGTTGAACGTTCCATCGCCGGCCATTCGTGGCTATAGCCGGCGATTGAGCCATCTATCGCCGGCCATTCGTGGCGATAGAGCTTTTTATCGCCGGCCATAAGGGCGATAAGAAAATCCTATCGCCAGCTATAAAAGCTATAGAAAATCCTACAGCCGGCCATAAGATTTCTCTATCGCCTTTATGGCTTATTTTTACCAGGGCAATTATTTAGCATAGGTTTAAATGGAGGAAATCCGGGGTTGCCAAATTGCTGGATCCGCCTCTGCATAAGAGGGAGGCACTTTACTTGAAAAGCCCTGTTTTCATTGGCTCTCGGGAGGAATGTTGTCACTTACTGCTGTTTTGCTTGAAACTACGTCATTTTTTGCACACTTATAGCTTTCTCACATGTCTCGTTTTCATAATAGTGAGATGAATTTTGCTGTTTTAGCTATTTCAGTGACTTTATCTGAAATACATTAGACGAACTTTGAAGGAGACTCGATTTCAAAAATTTTACTTTTACTGCTCTCTTCGCTATCACGGCATCACGGCAGAAGAGTTGGAAGATCTTCATGGTTAAAGGGCTTCTTACCTGCAGGAACAAAAACGAACGCAAGACAGACCAAACCACAGATAGAGAGGCTCAAACTTTCGGCTGGTCGTCTTCCGACTTTGTCCATGAGGAAATAAGTACCAATGTATGCCGGCAGCTCAACCCAACTCACAGCAATGTAGTTCAAGTATTTGTTCCCAGCGATATCGGTCGCGTTCAGAGAGAGGCCGTAAAACACGAAAGTGTTCGCCACCCTAGAACAACATTCCACCGTTTCAGAGGTATCAATGCCAAGGCTGCACTCATGGGATACTGAAACAGTGGCGTGGCGTGTATGATTGATTATCGATACATCCCCATCTAAAGCTATGGTAAAGAATCGATTATTAAGGTGTTCGGTGCAGACACCCTGTTTATCGATCCTTTACCATAAGGTTAAATGGCAGATCATTCGATATATCGCAATGCACGCCACGTCACTGCTTGTAAACGTTGATTGGACCGCGTTAAGCAAAAAGGAACCAAGTCACATCAGGCTTTACCAAATCAAATCGAGCAATTCAATTTTGTACATGAGAATGGTTATGCGGATTTTTGTGCAAATTTCGGTGAATTTTCTGCACACTACGAAGCAAATTCCTTAGGATTTTCAAAGGAATCCGCACAAACGTTCTCTAGTAAAATGTTGGGTTGCCCGATTAAATTTGGCAATAGCTGATGTGGCTTGGTTCCTTTCTGCTAAACGCGGTCCACTTTAGCGAGAAAAAAGCCCATCCTTTATTAAAGAGAGAAGAAAAATTAACGCTTCGAGCTTGTCGTCTCGTTGACGAAGAAACGCATATTTTAATATCAAAACGAATAAGCGAAGAAAAGATGATCTTAGACCTCACTGGAAAAAAAACCACATTGGATTTAGAGTTCAGACTCTTGAAAACATTGACAAGAAAAAGTACTCTTGATTGAATCAGATTTTTGCTTAAATCAAAAGGAAATCCGCTCAAATTAAGAGGCTTGGTTCTTGATTTAAGCAAAAATCCGATTGAATCAAGAGTACTTTTTCTTGTCGATGTTTTTAAGAGTCTGGACTCTAGATACAATGTGTTTTTTTCCAGTGCTGGGTGACTTTTTTTCCATTTTTTATTAAGAAAAAAAAGAAAACAAAATTGAGCACCGCCTGTTTTTATTATACGGTGCGACGGTCTGCTTGATCGCAAGCTTTTCTGTGAGATTCAACTTTTAAGAAAAAAAATTCAATGGCCTTATGAGAGTAGGTGGCACAGAGCGATCCTAGTGGCAGAGTGGGTGGCTAAAGTAATGGATTAACTAACGCTATACCCACAAGGGACCCTATAGTTATTTCATCATTTTCCCTCAAGCCTATACAAATCACCCGTTTCAACCAATAGGATTGCTTCAGTTCCACTTTGTCTTCTTTGTCTATTGCTTTGTGTATCAAATGCAATAATCATTCGCATGTGACAGTAGGATTTGCTGGTTGAAATATTGTGGCGTTGAGATGCAACTACTTTCTTCTGTCTGCAAAACGACGAATGGAAAGTCAAGCATTTTGAAGATCTTGCTCTGATGATTTTTTATAATGTAAAAGTTCAAGGTGATAAAATTGTAGTTTTCAAACAAGACACAGTTTGATCGACATTTAAAAAAAATTCCTTTGCCGATTACCTTTCTTTAGAAAAGGATCAACACACTCGAGGAGAAATTCTCCAGTGCATCCATAATCATGGAAACCCTATTTAAATTTTCCTCATTAAGTTTTCCCTTCAGAAGTCCTGACGCACTGGATGGATTCTGTTTTTAATCTTAGCTGCTTTAATTTTTTCAACTTTGTCTTCAACTTTTTATGAAATAACCGAAAACCACGAGAGGTTAATGCTGGACCGCGCAAACTCTTAGAACCCCTCGCAATTTTTAAGGGACCCCTTCGTGGACTTAGTAAGTTAATCTAAATAGAGCAAGCTTATTGGGAACTATCCTTCTTGATCGATAGCCGTACAAATTATGAAAATCAGCAAGGTAGATCATTAGAATGTTCTGTGGAAAAACTGAACATTTACCTCAAGTATTTTTCGAATGGAGATATCCACAACATTATCATGTAATATCAAAAAATCTGGGTTGCAGAAAATCTGAATATAGCGGGCTCATCCAAGAACTATCACCTGATAACAGCAAAAATCATGAAAATCGACCCAGTAGAATGGTAGAACGAACTGTGACAAACAATGGAAAAGTGGGAGATAAAAGAGCTTAAACGATAAACCGTTTAATTCCTCGGTTTGTGGATGAAAACTCAAATGAAATCATTTCAACGGACGAAGAGACATTTTTTGAAAATTTGGTAAATTCGTTTTAATACCAAAACAAAAATGGGGAAAAAAGATTGTCTCAGTTCTGGATGACGTTTTTTATCCATTTTCCTTAAAAAAAAGAGCACCGCCTATTTTTAGTGCACAGCGCGAAGGTCAACTTTCAAAAAAACGACCTCGTCACAGGTTACACACGGAAAAAAAAAATTAGCGCAGAGCTCTCCGCTTAGAAAAACAGCGCCAACACTTTACTGCCGTGCTAAGGAAGAGCGCCGTATAAAACCTTCATGCGTTGCCAAATTTCCTTTCGTAAAACACGAATTTCCTGGAAAACTCATGCAAACCGTCTTTCATCGAATTTTTCGAATAATTTTGCTCGCAATTTCAACCAAAGTTCCTGAAAATTTCAAGGAAAAATATTCGTTAATTTCTTTAATAGTACTGATTTAATCGGAGGAAAGGCAACTCTCCAATTTTATCAATAATATGTAAATTTTTCCATAAAATGTTACATTATGACACTTGACTACATTCCAAATACCGCAAAATTTAAAGTGCTACTACCTTTTGGACGTTGTACAAAAGTGCAATGTTCGCTAATCTTGAACTAGTTCATGCGGCGTTTTTCCTTAGCACGGCAGTATAGGCAGTAGGACTGGACCTTAAAGCTATGGCTCAGCACTAATGGACTGATGCCTGTTGTAATCGTCGCTATTTCACCTCAAGTGTTAAGACTCAGCGGTAGGTTGCTTTTTTTCGTGCATAAAACTGACCCCTTGTCTTAACATATTGGGGGTTGGTAATATTAACCGCTATGCAGAAATCCTCACGTGTTACCTCATTCCGAAAAAATTCCGTACCAGCAGAAGGAACAGTTGAGCACTCTGATCATCAAAGTCCTAGAATGGAGGATTTTCCTAAACGCAGGTTCGGAGATACATGAGCCGGTACTCACTACATCATCAGATCTGGAAATCGGTTCATTTCCCAATCCTTTTTTCACTGTTCCTTCACTGGAGAGTTCCTGTCAACAACAATTTATCGTCAAAATATAAACGTAGCAGTGCAATGTAGTATTCGTTGGTCGAGATAATCACCGATTTGAATCGATGACTCTAAAAAAGACTTAAGCACCAGAAATCGTAATACGAGAAATATAGCATGAAACCTATTAATTGACCCGTTTCAACTTTCAGAGCTCTGAAATATTAAAGCGATTAATTGATTAATCACATTATTATAAAATCTACGACAAACAATGGTTGATTATCACACTGCCCTGCTAAGGAAAGACGCCATATGAACCTTCAGGCGTCGCCAAATTTCCCTCGATAAAACATGAATTTCTTGGTAAACTTTTGAGTATTTTTCTTCCAATTTTTGCCCGCTTTTTCACCGAAAAGTCCTGAAAATTTCAAGGGAAAATATTCATAAATTTCGTCGGAAATGAACACATAATCGAAGAAAATTTGGCAACTCTCGAATGTTCATATGACGTTCTTCCCTAGCACGGCAGTACAGTTTCTATTGTTTTTCTCGTGTTTCCATTTTCGGCGCTTGAGTCTTTTTAAGAATGACCGATTCAATCATTGGCCTTAGATTCTCTGGCCGATGGAAAACTAGCAATACTTTCCTTGTATAGATACTCTGTCATTAGAGTGCTACCACTGACCAGTCCCGTGCATCTCTGAAGAAGTGAGAAAAGCGAAAGTGCCTTCAATTTTGAACGTGCAACACGCACATCAGTGGAACACGAATAGTTGCATCATGGTGCTACAGTCAACCACAGGCAAGTCCCGTGTATCTCTGAAGAAGTGAGAAAAGCGAAAGTGCCTTCAATTTTGTACATGCAACACGCACATCTGTGGAACACAAATAGTTGCATCATGGCGCTACAGTCAACCACGCAGACTAGTCCCGAGCTTCTCAGGAGAAGTGAGAAAAGCGAAAGTGCCTTCAATTTTGAACATGCAACACGCACATCCGTGGAACACGAATAGTTGCATCAAGGCGCCACAGTCAACTCACAATCAGTCTAGTCGTCGTAAAGCGGAAACGCTTCAAATTTTTGAATATCGACGGTGAAACTACCAAACCACGTATCTCGTTTGCAGTGTTTAAAAATCTCAGCTCCTATTTTAATTTTTTGAAGGAGAACAAACCAATATTATTATTCCTTGAAGTTTTCATAGATTTTTCCTTACAAAAAGAAGAAAGGTCAAGGAAGTTTAGTAAGAATTTATTGACGTTGAGTAGTTATCCGTTTAAAAAATAAAGTATGACAGGAAGTCTGCAACTTAGCAAACCGAGTTACGTGATCTATGGTAGCTTCTCCGTCGATATGCAATATGCACATCCATCATACTGAACATTTAGGCAATGTTTTAAAAACACATTGGATCTGGAGTCCAGACTCTTGAAAACATTGACAAGAAAAAATACTCTCAATTCAATCGGATTTTTGCTTGACTCAAAACGAAATCCGCTTAAATTAAGAGTCTTGGTTCTTGATTTAAGCTAGATTCTGATTGAATCAAGAGCACTTTTTCTCGTCGATGTTTTTAAGAGTCTGGACTCTAGATCCAATGTTTTTTTCCAGTGAAAATCATAAATTTGAGACAAATAGCAAAAAGATAAGTTATCCTTTAAATTGTTTTGATACTTTTGAGTATCACTCAAAATCCCGCGAGCAATTCGTCAAAGGTCGCGGTCGGTGGGGGACTCTCGTCGATCGATTGGCCCGTTCACATAATGGGTCACTCGTGCTGGTCACAAGATCGTGTTTTGATGCTCGATTCTCGTAGATCAACAAAAAATAATGAGATCCGTCGTACAGTGACTTTCTAAGTTGAATATTAACCGAGATATCGCGCTTTGAAAAATTCGGTTTACGACGTCATCCACCGCGGTTGTGATACCCTTGGTTTCTCCCACCTTCATTTCATCAATCAGTAAGACACACATTAGCAGCGTGAAACTCGGATGAAAGCTAGGTGGAAGAAAGCAAGGGATAGACGACCGCGGTTGATGACGTCAGAAACCGAATTTTTCAAAGCGCAATATTTCGGTTTATATTGAACGTAGAATGTTGCTGTGGGACGGATCTGAATATTTTTAGCTTATCAACAAGCAACAAAACTCGATTCTGAAACTAGCGCAATTGACCCATTTTCAGACTTTTGAAAAGCCAGTCAGCGGGCTGATTATTGAAATTGATAGACAGAGCAATAGATAAAGGAGACATAGAGAAGATTGAGCGATCCTATTGGTTATGATAGACTAAAAGGAAAAATATGGACTAGCTGTAGGATCTCTTGACGGTTGCCGTTAGTCAGTCTATTATTTACCTCCTCTGTCCATTACAACCACCCATTTCAACTAATGGGATCGCTCCATACTTCTTATGTCTTCTTCGTCTATAGCTTTGTCTATCAATTTCAATAATCATCCCGCTGTGCGGAGGATTGGCGAGAACTTAGGCCGGTTCCCGGTCTGGGCGACGGGGTGACCTCAGTAGCATGGCGTGAATTGCGATGTATCGATTGTTATGCCATTTAAACCTATGGTAAAGAATCGATTATTAAGGTGTTCGCTGTGAACACCCTATTTATCGATCCTTTTCCATAGGTTTAAATGGCATATAAATCGATATATCGCAATTCACGCCACGCCACTAGGTGACTTGTCCGCAGCGTCCACGGAACGGTCAAAAAAGTTGCTTAGTCTTTGAACTGTGGGAAATTTCGCCAACGGGGTGCAACATTGAAGTACTTTTTAGATCGAAAGACTGTCGGGAAGTCTCATCACGTATGGGAAGCCTCCCTTATTGCGGCCTCAATTTTGAGTGCTTTTTTTGAGCATGGGAACATGGAAACGTGATTGGGGAAACGCGTGACAGCACCGTGTTCCGTGTGGGGAAATGCTATGAAAAACACATTCGTATAGTTAGCGAGGAGTTCTGCGAAATCTGGTCGTTTCAGTCACATCTCGATGAAAAAATTATAGAAGTGGTGAATATCCGCGCGAAACCGCTTTCTTACTAGCGACATTAATTTGAGAGATATTGTTTATTTGCGTCATGAGTTCGTCGCAAGAATGGTTTCAAAAAGCGTACTCAATATGGGGTTAAGTGCACTTACGCGCTAAAAAAAGAGACTATTGCTGCGTTGAATTTTAAAGCACTGTCACGGTCAGCGTTGTCAAAAATGTCAATGGGCCTGTTGCAAACTTTTGCTAGAGCAAAACTAAGAGTTGTTTCTTATAGATAATGCCTCAAAAATCACGATGAGCGCATCGGCAAAGTTTAAAATGCACTCATAACTTCACAATCTGCGTAAGAAATTTGCGGTTTTTTGAGCTTCCCGCTTCAAAAACGATACTACGGCACAGGTGAACATTGTTAGAAGAGTCGTCCCATCGTCGGCAATACTCATCATGGCCGATGCCAATCCGCCAAAACACGTGTGATAGGACGAGATAGCACCTGAACAGGATTAAACCAGATAACAATCGGCAAGTTTACGTCTATATTTTCCTCGCCCGCCTTGATTGACCGTGAACTCTCCTCGAATTACGCGAGGAACTGCGCAAGCGTCAGCCATGATGAATATTGCTGACAATGGAGCGACTCCTCTAACATAATGTTCACCTGTGCAGTAGTATCGTTTTTGAAGCGGGAAGCTCAAAAAAACGCCAATTTCTTACGCAGATTGTGAATTTATGAGTGCATTTCAGACTTTGTCGATGCGCTCATCGTGATTTTTGAGGCATAATCTATAGGTAACAACTCTTAATTCTGCTCTAGCAAAAGTTTGCAACAGGCCCATTCATCAAACTCCTCGAAATAATAGGAAGAATGCACAACGCTGCCGTGCTGAGGCAGAACGTCGAATGAGCTTTCATGCAGACGCTGCCAGATCTTTTTCAATGAAAACCGAGTTTACGGGGAAAGTAAAGTATATTTTTCTTCAAATCTCAGAAAAGTGCATTTGACATTTGGATTGCATTTTGCAAAAAGGAACCAGGAACATTGCAATGTTGCTGAGATTGTGCAACTTCTTTTGTCTTGGAAGAAAAACCTAATTATCCATTAACAATTTCTGTTTTACTCTCTTTTGAGACAAAAATTACCATGTAAATTTCATATTTTTTCATAATTTCAGTGATTTTATTGCAAAGGATGAAGTTGCACAATCTTAGCATCGTTGCAATACTTCTGGTTCCTTTTTGCAAAATGCAATCCATTTGATCTAAAATATCCGAGAATTTCAAGGGAAAATATACACGAATTTCTTCAAAACTACATGTTTTACCCGGCAAAATTTGGCAAACCTTGAATGTTTATACGGCGTTCTTCCTCAACACGGCAGAACACTAGATTAAAAACGACGAGGCCAGATTCAGTTGACTTTCGTAACTTTGAGAGAAACGGATTTCGCACGGGATGACGCTGGGTGAAATTTTTGGATGAATTACTCACTATTAAGTTGATTTCAGGAACATTTTGACTCTCCAATTGTATTAGATTATTCAATTTTTCTCTTAAGTTCAACGATAATTTTTTGCGATTAATATCTTCTATGCTCTGAATAACAGTCAGAACTTCTCTGTAGCGTCTTTTCATTGCTAGCCATCGAATAGATTCAGGAATGACCCTGAAAAACATAATAAGGGGACGAATTATAATCATACAAATATTCATATGAATATTATACTTTTACTGGATTGACATGAATAAGAAGCTCAAAAAATTCGTCAAGCTGAAACCAAATTTTTGAATGGTTATGACGGTGCTCGAAATGACAGTGTAATGCTACACTAAAGTATGAAAAAAATGGCGACCACTAAATGGATATTTTCATTCATTTATGTATCCATATAATTTAGTTTGCTTTAATTTGTACATAGAACCGTATTTGACACATGCTTTTAAAGCACGTGACTTTGACATGACTCCTGACTCACTGGAAAAAAACACATTGGATCTAGAGTCCAGACTCTTGAAAACAGTGACAAGAAACAGGACTCTTGATTCAATTAGATTTAAGCTTAAATCAAAAGAAAATTCGCTCAAATTAAGAGGCTTGGTTCTTTATTGTCATGGGAACGGAGTTCCCCATGATATTACAATCGTTCCGTTGCTTTCGCAATGGGATTCCCTATACCTCTGCGACCTTGAGCGTTTCGCCCAGTCTCCGATTTTTGGTTGATTTTCCGATGTATCAAAAACCGTTGTATTTTTTAGCCAATCATGTCTTTACGTCAAGTTGTGTTGATTTCTAAAATTCGCTTTCAGCGAGTTTTTTTCCACCTTGAGATGTCGTGTCTGACTAGTAAATCTGCGCAGAACCACGAAGTTCCGTTTTTAGGCAAATTCTTTTTTTTGGGAGGTTTTCATTGGCTATTTTTCGCCATCAGTTTTCTGTTCGTTGGTGCAAAAGATCGCCTACCTCGTTGCTCTTGAGAAGCCGCCATTATCCCACCTCAAATTTTAAACATAGATGTAAAGAAATAATAACCATCGTACAAGGTGGAAAATTGCTCTGGAGGACCCGTTACGGATATATGAGCCAAAATCAGAACTCGATTGATGGATTTAATCCATGAATACAGAAATATTGCCTCAGCTTACTGCCGCGATCGCAAATGCATACTGAGATGAACCTTGTGACACATGACCGCATAGGTAAACAATGTCTCACAGAGTAATGCGCTTGATCCATTTGTCTCTTATCACGCCAGTGGCCGAACCGTTGAAATCTCAAGGACGTCTTTTGTGAAGCCCCGCTCAGCGTCCGAGATCACTTAACTGTTCTCTTTTTCTCCTCCTATTTCCGAGCCGTGAGATAGCTCAGTCAACTACAACACCGTTCTGATTCTGGGAGAGTGTCACTTTTTGTGGGAGCGGGGGTTCGAATCTCGTAGAGGACAGCTAATTTTTACTGGTTGTATTGAATGTTTTAGACCAATAATCTAACAATAATTAATACTTGGCAACTTAGGAAGCACATAGGTCCCTTATGATGCGTATTTGGGCATATGTGTAGAGTAAAAATATCATACGTAGGGTGTCCCAAAAGTACCGGGACTGGTTCTGTAACTTCAAAAGTAAGATAGATGCAGACATGATTTTGGTCTCATTTTAAAGATCAACTCAATACCTATCGATTAAAACCAAGATCAGCTCAATCGAATAAAAATTGACCGAGTTATGACAATTTGAAATTAGTGAGGAAAGTTTACCCCTACGGTTTTTAGGAAGATTTTTCGCTTACCAGGATTCAAAAAGTTAATATTCGTATCCACTTTCCTCCGAATCTTCCATAACTTCCTTTTGCTTTTCAAAGTACCGTCCATCAAACCGGATGCACTTTTTCATGCGCTCTTGCCACTTATCCAACATTGTTTTCCTGAATTCTTCCTCTGGGATGGAGTTGAAGAAGTTTTGAATTGCATTCTGGATTTTTGTCTTCGATACGAATCTTCGTCCGCGAAGCTCCTTTTTAAGCGCAGGAAACATCCAAAAATCACATGGAGCCAAGTCAGGGCTATAAGGGGGATGAGGGATTGTTTCAACTCCATTTTTACTCATAAATTCACGTGTTAAGCTCGATGTGTGAGGCCGCGCATTGTCTTGATGGAGTATCCACGAAGCTTTCAAGTCCGACCGTTTCCGGGAAATGTGCATTCTCAACTCCTTTAGTACTTTGCAATAATACGCACTGTCAACTGTTGTGTTTGATGGTACAAAATGTTGATAAATGACACCTCGAAAATAAAAAAACACAATAAGCATCACTTTATCGGCCGACTTTTCGATTTACGGCGATGAAGAATCTTCCTTAAAAACCGTAGGCGTAAACTTTCCTCGCTGATTTCAAATTGCCATAACTCGGTCAATTTTTATCCGATTGAGCTGATCTTGGTTTTAATCGATAGGTATTGAGTTGATCTTTAAAATGAAATCAAGATCATGTCTGTATCTATCTTACTTTCGAAGTTACAGAACAAGTCCCTGTGCTTTTGGGACACCTTATGTATACTTTACGCCGAAAAAGCGAACCTGAAACTTAAATGTGTTAACTTCCGAAAACCATATATAATCCAACGAAAATAAATAATTGGTACAAAACAGCTTTCTTATATGCAAAGAAAATAATTAAAAATGTTAAAAAAGAGATGTCAACACAAAATTACATAGCCCCTTCAATTCAGAAGATACTACAAACGAACTGTACCTTAACATTTTCATATCCCAGAAGCTAACGTTCCCATGACGAATATTGCTATCGCTAGCGATTGCAAAATCCAACTTGTTTAAGCTTAAATCTGATTGAATCAAGAATATTTTTTCTTGTTGGTGTTTTGTAGAGTCTGGCCTCTAGTTCCAATGTGTTTTTTTTTCTACCAGTCCTCGAGCAAAAGTATGTCTTTAGACCAATCGGAAGTTAGCTTTATAGTGATTTTAATCATAAAGTCTCGCTGAGCGAAGAAACGTGGGGTTATAATAATGTGTTCTCTTATTGAAAATTCCTCTGATAACGGGTGGGCAACCCCTTTTTCAAGTGACCAATAAAATCTGCTCTTTATAATATTAATTATTGCATCAAAGTGTTCGATGCATGCATTATACATCGCATCAGAACTTTGAAAAAATGCATTTTTTGAATTGATGCTCCTCAGAAAAAAATTCCCGCCTGGTGCATAAAGTTAAGTTTAAACATCCGTAATTTTTAATTTCATATGAAAACATGATCAAACAAATTAAAGAGTGTAGGTCAAAACGACCGAGCATTTTCCGTAAGTTCACATGCTCAAAAAATATGTAACTTACCAGAAATATGAGACGATGAACAAACCAGGCACATAGATCGCTAACAGAAATGACCGCCAGTCTTGTAGCCACCACATGACCAAGCCAATCACCACCTCTCCGATTGGGAAGAAACAACACAAGATGGTTGAAAAAAGGGTACGTTTACTGGCTCCTACTAATTCTAAACCTGGAAAGGATGAACATTTTTCTCATGAAAATGGGTAACCTACGGTGCTCGAAACGGATGTATTCCATCCGCTTAATTGGACTGCATTTTGCAATTTGGAACTGTAAATTCTGGCTCTTCTGGAAAACACTTATGTGCAAAGAGGAACTAATGGCACATACGTCGTTTTTAAAACGGGCTAGAATTTATAGTTCCAAATTGCAAAATGTAGTCCAATTCACATTCTGCCGTGCTAAGGAAGAACGCCGTATGAACATTTGAGAGTTGCCAACTTTCCACCCATAAAATGATTATTTTTAAGGAAAGATATGAATATTTCTCCTTGAAATTTTCAGATCTCTTAGATTAAATTTCGAACAAAATCGTATGGAATTTTCAAGGAAAAATATTCCCCATTTTCCCAGTAAATTTATTTTTTATTGAAGGAGACATGGCAACGTCTGGAGGCCCATACGGCGTTTTTCCTTAGCACGGCAGTATAGCACTATGATGAATATTGTGTTGAAAAATAAAATAATGAAGTATATCTCAAAGCGTCACACATTTACCGTCCGAACTGCCAAATTTTAAAGTTAATAGTCAGAATAAAAAGGTACCAAGTTGCAGGAGACAGCAAGAGACATTGCTCTTTCATGGAACAGTTTTGAGTCTACCACTCTGTCGGGAATAGCGTCAAGGTTCATTAACTTTGCACTTTCCCAAAAACTTTCACTTTTTACCCTTCATACACGCAATGTATTCATCCAACCGTTTTTTCTTTGACATACCATATGCTAAAACACGGAAAGAAAATATTACATGCGACGCGCACTTGATATTTCGCACAGCTTGTTTTCTCGATTACGTGTTTTCCCAATTTTTCCGGGAGTAATTCTCATTTGGAATAGATTCTGCAAAAAGGAACTACCACTGGCTCATTTTAGTAAGAACAAAAGTGCAAATATATTCCTGCTGTGATTTATTTAAATATATTTAAGAGCTGATTAGCAGAGCACTTAAATATTATAAAATATATTATTCTATATCTCTACTTACTAAATAAAACGAGAGGAACACGGAGTACAAGCTGTAAATAAAAGTAATTTGGACGGGACGTTTCGGGACTAATGACGGACTACTTACTAATGTTTATTAAATATATTCCTCCTGTATATTTATTTGAATAAAAGTTATTAAATTAATTTATCAATAATTAAATATTTGGAATTTTTGATTTTATTAATTACTAATCCTTTTTCTGTTGCCTATATAATAATTGGACCGAGTTCATCATAAAGGAACCAACCCACATCATGTTGAAACTGAGAAAAAGAGGTTTGAGGTTTTATTCCTCCATAAGACTCAATGTGAAAAATAAACTTTAGCCTCTCTTTATTTCACAATTTTTGTTTTGTTTTTAGACTTTCAGTTTTTAAAGAGAAAAGATACGGCCAGAGAGACTCAAAAACATTTTTAACTCAATTTTACCGACATATCCCGAAAATGTGGGTTGGTTCCTTTCTGATAAACTCGGTCCAATTATAACTATGTTCTTTGTAACTGTCCATTCTACTGATGGATTTAAGTTTTTTATAAACCACATATACCTACTTGTTTAATGTTATTATTTAATTAATAATTTTTTGTTCATCTATTTTTCCCTTATGCAGATAGGTGATTTTACGGATTCCGTGTTGCATACACAAAAATATGAAGGCGCATGGGAGCTTATCGATAGTAAAAGGCAAGAACCGTGTATCTCGATTTTAGGCGTTGCGGATTCTTCATCGACTTTCTTCTTTTGAAGGAAAACGAATGGACACAGTTTATAGGTATTTTACCACTCCCTCTTCATCCTTGAAGGACATACCTATCCTGCAAAATGTGAAGCGTTGTGATGTTTGATGCTCCTGTCTCAAAGAGGAAAATAAAACAATAAGAGCGAAGATTTTGAAGTGTCACAATCGAGTTACGTGTTTTTGGACTTTCCCTAATGCCGCAATCACACGCTGAGTGTGGGAGCTGAATGTGGAAGTCATCGGCCCGATTGCGCGTCACGCGCAAAATTCAGCAACGATTCTCAGCAACCATCGGACTAATGTTGAATTTGTCTGAACTATTCGATTAGATTTGATACACATCTGCATGAAAAATAACTCGAATGGACCATTAGACAAGGTACGAATTTAAGCAATCTGATACATGTTTCTTAACCAGAATTTCACGTAGAACACAATTCACACTACGAAAATTACTTAAACCAACTTCTAACGAAGATATTAACGTTTTTATTTCACATTGGGTACGAGGAATTTGAACTGCCCGCTCACAAGAAACTCAAAGCTCTACGTGAGTCAAATCGCGCACTACAACGGTTTCAGCAAGCTTCTCAATCGAGCAATGTTCATTTTCCACCATCTGTTGTTCAAACTATTGGTAATCTGCTATAGCTGAGCCAAAGTGTCAAGATTGAAGTTGAAGATTTTTACATCGCAGAGACTGTCATGATAAACATTTAGCGCGCGATTTGAATCACGTAGAGCATTGAGTTTTCATGAGCGGGTGGTTTGAATTCACGCATCAAGAATCATTAAATATCTTCGTCAGGAGTTGATTTGGGTAATTTTCGTTGTGCGTATCGTGTTCTACGTGAAATTTTGGTTGAGAAACATGTATCAGAATGCTGAAATTCGTACCTTGTCTAGTGGTCCATTGGCTAAATTTCAGCCGTTGGGCGATGACTGTTGACTTCCACATTCAGCTGCTAAATTCAGCGTGTGATTGCGGCATTACATCGCACGGTGGATCGAGTAAATTAGAGGGTTGGATAAGAAATTTTTGACTGAAACTGCACATTTTGATGTTAATTTCGTCACATTTTAAATTTTAAAGAGTGCCTCTAGAAGAAAATTTCACAAGGGAACCAATGAAACCCACTTTAAGAACATCAAAGTTTTGTATAAACTGAGTTATGAGCGTTTAAAGTTTCCACATTTTGTCCGACCGCTCCTATTGACTCGATCCACCATGCGTCGTGTCTCATGTTTCTTACCTATGATAAAAGCGGCTCCGTAGACGCCTGAGGAGGCAACGGCGTCTATGAACTCGAGAATAAGGAACATCGTGTAGTTCGTCGAAAAAGCTCGCAGAATACCAAACACGGCCGATAGAACAGATCCTATCACCAAGAAAAACCGTCTCCCGTACCTGCGAGATGAGACGAACGAGTTATTTTGACGTCACTGTTAACTTTATCGGCCATACTTTATCAAATTTCGTTAAACTTTTTCTTATCGATTTTTCTAAAATTGTTGTTGATACTTCTTACACTACAGCTGTTTCGAGCAACCGCTCATCGTCAGGTGTTTAAAAAATGTATAGGAATTAAAATTCCCTGGTAAAAATTGGCAGTAGAATCTGTGTTCCAGCCGATCTTCGCCAGAAATCCATCTCGGTCGCCTTGAGCATTTCTTGGGTCCGCTTCTTCAACTGCCACACTTCACTGCCATAGGTGATAATAGGCTTGACAACCGAGTTATAACACTTATTCGGCTGGAATCTCGAGGAGAGAACGTGTCCGAGAGATAATGGGCGTTGAGGGGACGATTGTGCACGATATCATGACCTAGCAATTGGTATGGTATGGGCATGTGCAGAGAATGGCTGATACCAGGTTGCCGAAGAAGGTGTTGGAGTGGGTCCCCCCAGGTAGGCGACGGAGAGGGCGTCCAGCCAAACGGTGGGTAGAGGGCATCCATGAAGAGATGGAGAGATGCCACCTTCCGGAGGATCTCTACCATGACAGATTCCTGTGGAGAATAGGCGTCGCAGAGCGCCCTAGCGCGCCGTAAAAGCGGCTCATACATACATACATCTGTGTTCCAAAATACCATAGACCCACGGCCGGCTGTAAGATTTCCAATAGCTTTTATAGCCGGCTACACAATTTCTTAAAGCCTTTTATAGCCGATGGCAATTAAGCAACTCACAGCCAGGCGATAAAGTGTATGCTAAACGTTACTAATTACGGATGCTGGGACTTAGTGAGTTTTTGGACAACTGCTCTCATTTTGGGCCGTAGTATCTTGATTTATTCTGCGAGAAAAGCTCCGTACTTTTGATGGACGCCTGCCATTCCTAATATATTACAGCGCCTTCAGTTTCGTATGATACTGTGCAATACCTCTGGCTGGTGTGAAATAGTTGCTTCAAGCGCCGTGGCACACTGCGGCGCGGCAGGCGGCCAGCCAGCGCGGAACGCGCATTGGCGCCTACAAACCTAACAGGGATACTTCACGCGTTGCGCAATGCGTGAAGTATCCCTGTTAGGTTTGTAGGCGCCAGTGCGTCGCCGTTCCGCTTTGTGTTAGGCTCCAATATTTAATCTGGCGGAGTCAGCGTTATTCAACTCATGATTTTGAAATGTTTGCACATCCTGTATGGATTATTCTCATTTTAATTGATGAAAAAAATATGTATCAAAGGAAAATATAATGTGTGTTTTGTAAATATTAAGGAGGTTCCGTATCAAACTTAATGATTTCCAAAGCACACGAGTCTCTACACAATATCTTATAGCCTTTTATAATCGATGGCAAAAAAGCAACAGCCAGGCGATAAAGTGTAAAGCCCGGCGATAGGAACTATAGCCCGGCTGTATAATTTTTTATCGCTTCGTATAGCCCGGCCGTATGATTTTCTCCGCATTCTACAGCCAGTTATATGATTTTCTGTAGCCTTCTTTAGCCGGCTATAAGAATTCCTAAGGTATTTTTTACCAGGGTTATGTGTTTTCGCGATCGCGAGTAGTTCGGATCTCGAAAACGCATCATAATTTTAGTTTTTATACATTTTTTTAAACACCTGACGATGAGTGGTTGCTCAAAACAGCTGTAGTGTAAGAAGTATCAACAACAATTTTAGAAAAATCGGTAAGAAAAAGTCTTACGAAATTTGTTATTTTGACGTATTTCCTCCAAACGGAAGTATGTGCATTATGACGTGAGCCTGAGCTCTGTTATGCATATATTCTTATGGGTCTCAGGGCTCATGTCTTATTGCCCATAGTTCCGTTTGGCTGGCAGAAATCGTCGGTGTAAGTCCAGAACCACGTATCTCGGTTTGCGACGTCGCAGACTTCCTGTCATACTTTATTTTCTTAAACGGAAAACTACTCAACGGCAATTCTTTAAAACTGCCGTGATTTTCCTTCTCTGTGTGAAGAAAATTCTGTAAAAACTTTAAGGAATGATGTCCATTTGTTCTCCTTTAAAAATGATATACAGGCGGAGATTTTCAAACGCCGCAAACGAGATACGTGATTGCAGACTTACGCCGTCAAAAAGCGACCATTTGAGGAGACGTAACCGACAAAAGCCGAATCTCGAGGAACTATGAAACAAAAATGATTCCTCCGACAATTATACTCCATATTTCTGTTCAAGAAATGGAGCTCTTGGGTGTGTCAGGGATTTGCAATTTATGTACATTTTTTTTCCTGAAATTCCGCTAGAAACACGATGGTGTCACTGATTTTCTCAGGAATCATTTCCAGTGCTCTACAATAGCTCTAAAAATGGATGCCGTAATGGAGAAGATATTCCACACTAGCCTAAGAGCCCACCTCTATATCGAGACAAACTCTGTATGCAAAGATAAGGAGCAAATGTGTTAGCAGGGCTGCCGTATTTTCAGTTTTGGAGTTCCCAAATTAGGCGGTAATGCTGTTAATTAAGTTGCTCCCTATCTTTGCATACAGAGTTTGTCTTGATATAGAAGTGGACTCTCAGGGTAGTGTGGGATATGCCCTTCATTGCAACCTCTATTTTGAGAGCTTTTTTTGAGCTTTGGAGTTGATTTCACAGAAAACCAGTGGCACCATCGTGTTTCTCGCGAAATTTTACGGAGCGATCAGTGATTCAATCGCAAATTCCTGACCATTATCCATTGTTCTTACACACTTTTGTACCTGTATAGCATGAGTATGGACGGATCGCTTCATGGAGGGCTTAGGGTCCAAAAGGACAGCCGGCCTCATACTAGGTACACACAATTTTAACGTCAATCTTAAGATTCCAATTCAAACCAAGATGGCAAAGAATGTTCAAAAATGAGTGTGCTCTCGCAAAAATGAGTCAATTTATGCAAAAAGTGAGTCTCACACGTGCTTTACAAACGACGGACCGTAAAATGTACCACTAGACAAGGTACGAGTTAAATGATTCTGATACAAATTTCTTAACCAGAAGTTCACGTAGAACACGATTTGCATAACGAAAATTACTGAAACCAACTCCTAACGAAGATATTAACGTTTTTATTTCACATTGCTTACGAGGAATTTGAACTGCCCGCTCACAAGAAACTCAAAGCTCTACATGAGTCAAATCACGCACTACAACGGTTTCAGCAAGCCTCTCAATTGAACAATGTTCATTTCCCACCATGTGTTGTTCAAACTATCAGCAATTTGCTATAGCTGAGCCAAAGCGTCAAGATTGAGGTTGTCAGATTTTTATATCGCAGAGACTGTCATGATAAACGTTTAGCGCGCGATGTGAATCACGCAGACCATTGAGTTTTCATAAGCGAGGGGTTCGAATTTACGCATCAGGAATCATTAAATATCTTCGTAAGGAGTTGATCTTGGTCATTTTTGTTGAGCGCATCGTGTTCTACGTGAACGTTTAGTTACGAAACATGTATCAGAATACTGAAATTCGTGCCTTGTCTAGTAGCCCATTGTAATCTAAAATCAGTGGGGATATTTTGAATTCATAGGTTTGCTGCTGGTTTTGGCCCTGACTTAATTCGCGGAGGCATCGATGAAGGCCTAATGAATTCTCGGAGTTTCATATCTGTTCATACTCTTTCGGTACAGGCGATCTACCCTTTACTATCTGCAAAACTACGAAGAAAATACGGATCGGCGAACGAGTCGTTTTTTATACGGCGTGGACGTGATTTTGCCAGCATGCGTAAACGGATAATAATAGCATTTTCCATTTCAGAGCTAGCTTCGGAGCTTTTAGAAGCAAAAAAGTCAGGAGACTTTCCTGTACTGATGACGGGTCATTAGGACCTGACATGCGTCCGCAGTTGTGGAGTGAACAGTTGACAGTTCTGAAAAAAATAGCATGTCGACGGTGTTAGTCGGCAATCACACAACTCGTTTAGCGTAGTTTCAGCGGGACTCTATTTGCCTCTGATGAAATTGATTAATTTAACTTATTTTATTAATTTAAAAAATTAATTAATTCTATTTTACATTTTTTCTTTTCTCAATTTAAAATTCAACGTTTTCACTTACGCGTCCGATATTATTCCGCCAATTGGAAGACCAACAAACTGGCCAACGTTATTAATCGTCCCTACCAGGGTCAGTTTCCATCGGTTGTCATCGCATTCCAGATGAAACTGAAAAAAAGGAGGAAAACCATGAAATGTTCGATATTTTACTGCGCTATTTGTTCTTTATGCTGCCGTACCAAGGAAAAACACCCTATGAACCTCCAGGCTTTGCCAAATTTCCGTTTCTAAAACGCGAATTTCCTGGTATATATGTAAATATATTTTTCTTCCAATTTTTCAGATAATGTTGTCTGCAGTGGAGATGTTGCATGTGTGAGGAATTTGCGATTTGACTGTTGATTCTTAAGTAAAAGTTTGCGAGAAACACGATGGTGCCATTGGTTTTCTCTGAAATCAATTCCCAAGCTAAAAAAAAGCTCTCAAGTTGAGGTCAAGCCCTGTCACTGTATTTGCTCCCTATCTTTGCATGGAGATTTCGTCTTGATGTAGAGGAGGACTCTCAGAACAGCGTGGGATATCCCCTCCATTTTGACCTCAACTTGAGAGCTTTTTTTGAGCTTGGGAGTTAATTTCAGAGAAAACCAGTGGCCACATCGTGTTTCTCGCCAACTTTTACGTAAGAATCAACCGTCAAATAGCAAATTCCTCACACCTGCAACATCTTTTTTCACCCAAAGTTCCTGAAAATGTCAAGTAGCAATATTTATAACTTTCCTACAAAAAAACATTATATGGAAGGAAATTTGGCAACCCTCGAATGCTCATACGGCGTTCTTCCTTAGGACGGCAGTATGGTGTCCTTATTTGTTTAAGTTTATGTTTGATGTTAAGTTTTGGATCGGGAAGGATATAAGTTTTGGATTAAGGAGGAAGCGTGGCAAAATAGGAAAAATTAAAAAAACAGAAGATATTAAAGAAAATCGCCGTCATGCCGCAGAAAAGGAACAACTTCTACAATTTTATCAGCTATAGGTAAATGTTTTGACTTCTGCTAAATCAAAAGCAGATCCCAGTAAAGTACCCATCATAAAAATGGTATACCCAATGCCAAGTGATTTATCCAACGTTTTTCAAGTTCCCATGACGAGTATTGCTATCGCGCTCCGATTGCAGACACCAGCTTGTCGTTTTCTTCAATAAGTGGAATCTGCCTCTCTTTATACGCCTATATAGGGAAAAATGAAGCGCTTTTAAATCTAACGCATCTAGGGTACTGTTCAAATAATATGGTTCTGATTGTTCTTTGAACGAAAATACTGGATTAAAGAAAAATAAGAGGAAAAAAGAAACAAGTTGGATTTTGCAATCGCTAGCGATAGCAATATTCGTCATGGGAACGTTAGCTTCTGGGATATGAAAATGTTAAGGTACAGTTCGTTTGTAGTATCTTCTGAATTGAAGGGGCTATGTAATTTTTATTGACATCTCTTTTTTAACATTTTTAATTATTTTCTTTTCATACAAGAAAGCTGTTATGTACCAATTATTTATTTTCGTTGGATTATTTATGGTTTTCGGAAGTTAACGCATTTAAGTTTCAGGTTCGCTTATTCGGCGTAAAGTATACATAAGATGTCCCAAAAGCACCGGGACTTGTTCTGTAACTTCGAAAGTAAGATAGATACAGACATGATCTTGATTTCATTTTAAAGATCAACTCAATACCCATCGATTAAAACCAAGATCAGCTCAATCGGATAAAAATTGACCGAGTTATGGCAATTTGAAATCAGCGAGGAAAGTTTACGCCTACGGTTTTTAAGGAAGATTCTTCATCGCCGTAAATCGAAAATTCGGCCTATAAAGTGATGCTTATTGTGTTATTTTATTTTCGAGGTGTCATTTAAGTATCAACATTTTGTACCACCAAACACAACAGTTGAGAGTGCGTATTATTGCAAAGTGCTAAAGGAGTTGAGAATGCACATTTCCCGGAAACGGTCGGACTTGAAAGCTTCGTGGATACTCCATCAAGACAAGCGCGGCCTCACACATCGAGCTTAACACGTGAATTTATGAGTAAAAATGGAGTTGAAACAATCCCTCATCCCCCTTACAGCCCTGACTTGGCTCCATGTGATTTTTGGATGTTTCCTACGCTTAAAAAGAAGCTTCGCGGACGAAGATTCGAATCGAAGACCGAAATCCAGAATGCAATTCAAAACTTTTTCAACGCCATCCCAGAGGAAGAATTCAGGAAAACAATGTTGGATAAGTGGAAAGAGCGCATGAAAAAGTGCATCCGGTTTGATGGACGGTACTTTGAAAAGCAAAAGGAAGTTATGGAAGATTCGGAGGAAAGTGGATACGAATATTAACTTTTTGAATCCTGGTAAGCGAAAAATCTTCCTAAAAACCGTAGGGGTAAACTTTCCTCACTAATTTCAAATTGTCATAACTCGGTCAATTTTTACTCTACACATATGCCCGAATACGCATCATAAGGGACCTATGTGCTTCCTAAGTTGCCAAGTATTAATTATTGTTTGATGATTGGTCTAAAACATTCAATACAACCAGTAAAAATTAACTGCCCCCTGCGAGATTCGAACCCCCGCTCGCACGAAAAGTTACATTTACCCTCAGACAAAATGTTGTCTCTACTGACTGGGCCATCTCGCCGTTCAGGAGTGTTAGGAGAAAAGAAAACATTTAAGTGATCTCGGACGCTGAGCGGGGCTTCACAAAAGACGACCTTGAGATTTCGGCAGTTCGGCCACTGGCGTCCTAAGAGACAACGGATTAACTGCATTACTCTGTGAGACATTGTTTACCTATGCTGTCATATGTCACAAGGTTCATCACAGGATGCATTTGCGATCGCGGCAGTAAGCTGAGGCAATATTTCTGTATTCATGGATTAAATCCATCAATCGAGTTCTGATTTTGGCTCATATATCCGTAACGGGTCCTCCAGAGCAATTTTCCACCTTGTACGATGGTTATTATTTCTTTATATCTATGTTTAAAATTTGAGGTGGGATAATGACGGCTTCTCAAGAGCACCGAGGTAGGCGATCTTTTGCACCAACGAACAGAAAACTGATGGCGAAAAATAACCAATCGGAACCTTCCAAAAAAAAGAATTTGCCTAAAAACGGAACTTCGTGGTTCTGCGCAGATTTACCAGTCAGACACGACATCTCAAGGTGGAAAAAAACTCGCTGAAAGCGAATTTTAGCAATCAACACAACTTGACTTAGAGACATGATTGGCTAAAAAATACAACGGTTTTTGATACATCGGAAAATCAACCAAAAATCGGAGACTGGGCGAAACGGTGAAGGTCGCAGAGGTATAGGGAATCCCATAGCGAAAGCAACGGAACGATTCTAATATCATGGGGAACTCCGTTCCCATGACAAAAAAAAGGAAAAGAAGAGGAAAAAAGGCAATTCCATGCGACGATCGTGACCCGCGAATAAGACTTATTCCGCGTAAATCACGATTCACTCTAGGAAAGCACGTCATCCTGAAAAAGTACGTCATCGCTATGTGAACTTCTGACAATCAATTGTATTCTAAGCAAAGTGGAAAATTTCTACAACGCATTCAGAAAGGTTCATGGTTGATAAAATTTGAGAGTTGTCAAAGAGCTGTAAGTTCGCAAAAGTTGACGTTATTTGCGACAAAACTGTAGTGAGTCTACGAGTACATTATACTGTCAGGCACGTAGCCAGGATTTTGTTTCGAGGGGGACTTGGTCGGGTGAGCAGGGTCCTCCCCCCCCCCTACCCGGAGTTCGGGAACTCCCTCCCTTCAAATTTTTGGAATTGTAATTCTATTTTGACGCATTCTGAGGCTCCGTGACGCAGATTTTCCATCAATTTCTACGGAAAAATTACGTATCTTTTTTACTTTCAGCCTACGATACCTTCAAGTTGTTGCATTCAACACATCTGGACAAATTTTTAAATTTTAAATCTATGTCGACGCATTTTGAAAGTTCAAACTTCTTCTTTTCTTGCCTTCTTGTATTTTCTGTCTCCCTTTTTCTTCATTTTTTCCCTCCTTTTTTTTTTTGCTTTCGGAGGGGGCTTGAGCCCCCCAAGCTCCCCCTCTGGCTACGTGCCTGTAAACTGAACGGTTACTTCTTTTAAACACTTATTTTAACAATAAAAACTAGGGGGCGCCGCCTCCTGGCCACCACGCGGCCCAACCCTGAGGCGCTGAGCGTCCTCAAAGGCTGATTCGCGGCCTTTTGAAGGCTACTTCGCGGCCAGCGAGATCTCAAACGAAAAAAAATTACAGTATTATCCCAGTATTATCACAGAAATATAAAAAAAACCTCGATCAACTCACTTACGGACGGTACTCCGCTTACGGGAATTTCCCCTTTTACGGACTTGGAACTCTCCTACCTCACCCCAGCCCATAGAGCGCCTTAAAAATGATTTTATTAGAACAGAGGATTTAAGCGCAAAGTCTCCGAAATTGAAGAATTGCAATGTTTTTGCTGGTAGGAGAAAACAATTCAAAGATTCCCTAGCAGGTTTCAGGACATTTTGTCGACGATTTTTTATCCGCGCACCTTTTTTGTCCAGTATTTTACGCCCACACGTAAAATTAGGAACAGTGCCTTGGTCCAAGCGTTATATTTTGGTCGGTATGTGAAATTATATTAACAATATGGAAATGGGAGATCGAGAGCGAAGGAGGTGTTGTTATGGTTGCTCATTTTTTAAATGGAATGTTATTACTTTCTCCTTTTGAATCATATTTTAAATTGTCATCGGTGAATATTTGGTTTTATTTCTATCCTTAAAATATTCGATGTACAATATACCTTATATATGTATAGGTACTTTTTTTCAATTTTTTCTTTACGAAATTATTACTTCATTTTGAAAACATTTATATTTTTAAAACGTGACAAATATTTGTAAAACATTTTCCAAGCGACATCAATCTCAATGAGCCGCAGTTGTGTCGACAGAAACTGCAAAAATGTATAAAAGAGGGAAAAAACCAAGAAGCACGCAATCTTTAGTTTTAACCCATTTGTACATCGATCTTTTAGAGTCAAATACGTCAAATTTTGAGCGTTTGGTTGCGCGTACACCTCGCTGCAGCACAATAAAAGCACAAAATGTAAAAGAAAAAATTAAAGTGCTTTGAAAATCATTAAATTTGACACGGAACCACCAATTCCCTTTGATAAATTGATGCATATTTTTTCCCCATCAATTTAAATGAGAATAATCAATGCAGAGTGTGCAGACATTTCAAAATCTTAAGTTAAAAATGCTGACCATGCGAGTATAAATATTAAAGCCTAACAGAGCGGAGGGGCGTGCTGCTAGCGCGAGAGGCTCACTGGCGCCTACAAACCCAAGTGGATACTTCACGCATTGCACAGTGCTTGAAGTATCCACTTAGGTTTGTAGGCGCCAATGCACGTTCCGTGCTGGCCGCCCGCCCGCTGTGCAGCGGCGCCTGAAGCAACTATTTCACAACAGAGGTGTTGCACAGTATTATACGAAATTGAACGTATTAAGAATGACAGCAGGCATCCTTTGAAAGTACAGATCTTTCCTTGCAAAATAAATCAAGGTGCTTACCGTACACAGGAAAAATCTAAGAGCCTTTGGCTGAGGCAAATATAGAGGTTTATCCGGTTCAGGTATAACAAAGTGGGAATTTCTCGAAAGATAAGCAAGTCCTGTTACACCAAAGAGGTGTAGAGAGTTTTAGCGAATTTTTTCTCATGGAATTGACGCTCCCCATTTTTACCAAAACTCTCAACTATACAGGGTTATTCAAAAGTCACGCACCACTGTCCATAACTTTAGTTCAAATCATGATATCGATTTGCGATTTAAGACGTTTTCCCTCACACCGAGGGGGAATCTTTTTTAGGTACTTTCCAGTTTTTGATCCCCTCGGGGGCGGGGGGTAACTCAAAAATCTCAAATGGCCACCCCCCTCATCGCCAGTGGTGCGTGACTTTTGAATAACCCTGTATATTATTCTCCGTTGGATCAAACTGTTCTTCCATAGCACGGCCATGGACCAAGAGATAAATAAGGACTCCCAACTCCCTATGCTAACCTGTGTTAAAAACCGTTAACGCGCGCTCGCAGCGAACCTGGCAGAGGGTGCGATGAACTAACGCCACAGCGGTCCACGATCGTGCCTCTATAGTATGTTATTCCATGCAATGTTCTTTGTTTATCTATGATTTATTTATTTGTGTAGATACTTTAATACATTTTACTTTCGCAAACTAATGAAATTGTATAGATACATACCTTCTGCAGAGGTCAATGCGAAAGACTTTGATTTGAAGTATCTTATCAAAACACGAGCAAAGATGATTCAGTCAACTTCTGACGCAGAATCAAAGAGACTTGCTAATAATCAAATTAAAGGTAATGCTTGAAGTCAAGTATCTTTGATTTTGTGACACTCAGTTGATTTCCTCAGTGATCCTCGACCACGAGGATACGAGGATCTAGAAACTTCTATGAGCACTACTGAGTGATAAGCCTAAATAGGTGGTGCATGGAAATATAAACAGGAAGACCCAATCATCGGTTTAGTTCACTACACCCTCTGCCAGGGAGCGCTGATGTCAGCGCTAACCGGAGTTGGGGGTCCTTATTTATTCTCTTGGTCCATGGCACGGCAGCGTAGCCGAGATAGTGGAGAGTCTCTTGTCTCTGATGAAAACAAATGACTTAAGAGAAACTAACCTCCTTGAGTATGGTGTTTTCCGTGTCCTTGAAAACCCAGTCTGCGCATCTCTGAGTCTTGTCGGCGAAGAAGGACGATGGACAAGAGATGCTGACGTTGCGGTTATTATCATAGAAGTCCGGATTGATTTTGAATCGGTCACATTTGGCCGGAGCATTTTCTTCTTCGGACTTGAGGGGAACCGCAGCGACTAGCCAGTCCGGTCGGAACTCCGGCCGCCCATCGGACCCTTCGCACTCCGGAATGCGGCATCTGCACACAAAACGTCTGGTCAACTTTGAAAGAGGTTCGAATGGAGTACCTGTAAGCGGGAGAGTATTGCCATCTCTGTGCCGCTCTCTGATTGGTTCATCAGTTTCATGGAGCTCATGGACTAATTTAAACAATCCCGACCCAGAGGAACACGTATTATTGGCTGAGAAATGAATGATACACTGAAAAAAACTCCGGCCGTGGGAGCCGCAATTACGGGCTATATAGACATACCGTCCGTTTCGGGCTCAAAGGCCGAAAATTCCAGCTGCTGGAGCCGTAGCTTCGACCTCTGAACCCGGAGCAATCGAAGCCTCCAGCAGCCGGAATTTTCGGCCTTTGAGCCCGGAACGGACGACATGTCTATGTAGCCCGTAATTCCGGCTCTCACGGCCGGAGTTTTTTTTTTTTTTTTTTTTTTTTTTTTTTTTTTTTTTTTTTTTTTTTTTNTTTTTTTCAATGTAATCACACTCAAAGCTTAATTTTCGGCAAAAATATCCATCAAAGTTCAATCCGAACTCAATTCAGAAGTCATGAAAGAATTTCTATCACACCCACCCAATATCACGTCTAAAACTTTATGAAAAACTTTCCGGCCATCTTGTTTTATATTGGGCCAAACTAGGAGCGTAGGGGTTGGGGTTTGTTTACATTGGTCCAACATTAGGGCTCCATGACAGCCGACCAATCAGAGAGTGGCACACTTTTTCTGTAGTGAAAGGATTGCGATGACAACACTCTCCTGTGTACAGGTCCTCTAGGTTCGAAAGACCGTGAAAACTGCAAAGCGGCCTCTTGGTTGTCATACACGGACACGCCCACCCTAAGGACAGGGGGCGGATACTGGGTCCCTGGTACCGGGGCCCGGGCCCCGGAGGAGGCCCGATTTACCCGTGAAGAACCACTACGAATTCACATGCAACCCTTGTTTCGCAAGAAAAAGTGAAAAATTTACCCTAAAAATTTCGCAAAAGGTGAATAGATTTTCAGAAACACGCTGGGGCATTGTAGAATTCTTCTTAAATTTTCAAAGAAGTATACTTCTTGGAAAATTTCTATCTATTTTCAAGATTTCAGTACAGAAGGATATTTTTAGTAATTGCGTTTCATTATCTTCCGTCGTTAGATGCTGAGAGTCTCCATGCAGTCTGGGCATCCTCGACTTCAATGGCTCATGGCTCGACTCCCTTGCCATAGACAAACGAAGGGGAAGTCCAGGGGGCCTGGCCATCTTAGAACTGAAAACAGTATCATATGCCCCCCCCCAAAAAAAAAAAAAAAAATTTTCCAGATATTTTGAATGCAACAATTCACAAGTATTTTGTGCTGAAAGTAGAAAAAAACATAATTATTCCGCAGAAATTGATGGAAAAATTCTTTATGGAAGCTTCAAAATGCGTCCGATTAGTCGAATAAATTCTAAAATTTCTCGGGGGATGCCCCTCGGAACCCCCCCCCCCTTGCTTGGGGCCCGGACGTTAGAACTGGAATCATGCAGGGCCCAAGATGGGATGTGGCGGGCCTGCATGAAGGCAATTTCCATTTAAATCTTCCGTCCTCATTCTTACGGCGCAATGATACAACTATTTGAACTCTCCGGAATGCGTGAGGTATCACGCCGCATTTGAAGGCGTTTTCAAATCAGCCAAGTTCCGATACCCGGATTATCGTTTTGCATAGTTCATATTCTTTTGCTTTCATTTCTAACCACATGTTTATTTATAATCCTCCTATAAAAATTACCCATTTGCTATATACAATTCTAGCTGAAGCGCACTTCAGCTATGCATTCACCACTGAAAAAATGTCAAAGGAAATAGACACGCCCAGCGTGCATGGAGGCTATTTCCAGTTAAATCTTCCGTAGCATTTCTAAGGCGCAATGATACAACTATTTGAACTCTCCGGAATGCGTGAGGTATCACGCCGCATTTGAAGGCGTTTTCAGTGATTCAGGCGATTAGTCGTAAAAATTCTAAAATTTCTCGGGGGATGCCCCTCAGCCACCCCCCTCCGTGCTTGCGATCCGGACCTTAAAACTGGTACCAGGGCCCAAGATGGGATGTGGCGGGCCTGTACACGGAGCAGGCCAAAATTAAAGTACGTATAAAGGGAGAGCAGGAACTTGTCGAAACATTGGAGCTTTTAGGGCCCAACAAGGCAGCCAACCGTCTAACACAAAAAACGTAACTCAGATTCAAATTTCGAACCAAGATAGCCCAGAATGATCATAAAGGAGCGTCAACCAAGACGGCCTTCCAAGCGTTCCTCCATAAAAATGAGTGAATCTATGCATGAGACTAAGTCAATTGTGCGGATTAAATACATGCTCTCTGGATGCTCTTATTTGAACTTCGTACTTAGAGAGAGTGCAAAAACGCCGAAATGTGCCGAAAGGGACAACAACCTTCGAAAACGGAAATTGTCACTGCCAATCTTTAGATTCCAATATCAAACCAAGATGGCCGGGAATGATAAAAAATAAGCGTTCTTTTGCAAAAATGAGTGAATTTATTCAACAACAAAGTCAAATGCGTGCTTTAAAGACTACGGGTCATCACAATTGTTATAGTAAATCACTCTGGATAATTTGAACTCATAGGTTGTTGGCTGTCCTTTTGGGCCCCAAAAGCTGCATGAGTATGACCTAATCTCAAAAATACCAACATGTCCGCACTCTCCCTATATAGGTACTCTAACCAAAGTAACATATACTTAGATGGCTCAAGTGCGAAACTCCGTACCTTCATCACGATGCTTCTTCATAGTTTCGATCGATTACCGATTTTTCCCCATTTGAAGCGATGGTAAAGAATCTATTAATAAGGTGTTCATTGCAAACACCCTGTTTATTGATTCTTTTCCATAGGTTACATGGCAGATTGATCGATGTATCGTAAAGAACGTCACGCCTTTGCAATTTGAAGCAAAAACAAAATGTTGTGTTTCTTGTGAGCGGGAAGCCAAAAATCCCGTAATAAATGGAAACTAAGAACGTTAAAATCTTAGTTCGAAGTTGATTTCAATAAATTCTCCAGTACAAATTTTGTTCCACGTAAAATTTTTGTGAGAATACATTAGGCATGATGCTTGAGTTTGCACCTTATCTAGTGGTTCATTTCAAGTTAGAGAAGGAAAAACGAGTAGGTAATTCGAGAAAAAATCTGTCTAAGTTGTCCAGCAGAAATGCCATCCTTAGAGAGTATTTACTTCAAACGCATGTAACATTATCAATTGTGCGAATTATGGTTTTGAACTTCTCCCAAATTCCTTAAGAATATCAGAGAAAGTTTATCATTGAAAGGTGATAATCGATATCTTTGACCCCAAATCGGGTACTTGCGCGGTGCTGCGGCACCAAACCAAGGTGTTCCGTTTTATTTTCGTTATTTGTGAGTCAATCTATGTGATTTTTAGAAAGAAAGACATTTTTTGGACTCTTTTTAAGATCAGCTGCTATAATAATGAGCTACTTATAGGGTCACACGGTATAAATTGATTACTTGTATAAAAGCCAAAAATCACGTGCTCCAAAACAAGAATGTCTCAAAGTCACACATGAACGCCAGGTTTCGTGACTAGTTTCGCGCTTATTCAAAGTTACGGAGGTATCGAGCAGTTTTTGAGAAATAATTAGAAAAAAACCAACATTTTTGGAATTATGCGGGAGAAATATTTTGCGGGATCATTCATTTATTTCACTTGACTCTCTCACGTTTCTCTCCAGGCTCATCTGGATGCCAGCGTGGTGACAAAGAAAAATGGCCCGCTACTGACGCACGCGGTAACTTTGGAAAAACGCGATACGAAGAGCTTCTAACTGTGCATAATTAGTTATTTTTTTTAGTAGTTAATTTTTCACATTTCTGATTTGCTATTGTCTTGTGAGTACATCACGTGTACAAATGGACTTGTGTGACAAAAACAGTGTCTGCTTGATTGAATGCACCTCTTGAGTGATTCAGGCAATAATTAACACATCATTCTTTCAATGGACCACTAGACAAGGTACGAATTTCAGCATTCTGATACATGTTTCTAAACTAAAATTTTACGTAAAACACGATTCTTACAACGAAAATTACCGAAATCAATACCTTACGAAGATATTTAATGATTCTTAATGCGTGAATTCAAACCACCCGCTCATGAAAACACAATGCTCTACGTGATTCCCATCGAGCGCTAAACGTTATCGTGACAGTCTCTGCGATATAAAAATCTGGCAACCTAGATCAATCTTGACACTTTGGCTCAGCTATAGCAAATTGCTTATAGTTTGAACAACACATGGTGGGAAATGAACATTGCTCGATTGAGAAGATCGCTGAAACCGTTGTAGTGGGCGATTTGACTCACGTAGAGCTTTGAGTTTCTTGTGAGCGGGCAGTTCAAATTCCTCGTAACCAATGTGTAATAAAAACGTTCATATCTTCTTCAAAAGTTGGTTTCAGTAATTTTCGTTGTAAGAATCGTGTTTTACGTAAAATTCTGGTTAAGAAACATGTATCAGATTGCTTAAATTCGTACCTTGTCTAGTGGTCCATTGCGATAGTTAAAAGCGAGAACACATCCTTACGTATGCTCGCGACGCACGGTGGATCGAGTCAATCAGAGAGAGGTTGGACATTTAATTTCAAACTAAAACTGCAAATTTCGATGTTCATTTCGTCACATTTTCAATTTCAAAGGTTGCTGTAAGAGGGAAATTTCACGAGGAAACTAATGCAGCCACCTCTAGAACCTCAAAGTTTTGTATAAACGGAGTTATAAGCGCTGAAAGTTTCCAAATTTCGTCCAACCCCTCCTATTGACTCGATCCGCAATGCGACGTTGCGTTACAGACATCCAGTCATACTTTATTTTTCCCTCTGAAAACTAGACAACGTAATTTCTAGAAAACTCCCTTGATTTTTCATCTCCGTGAGTAGAATATTCTGTACAAATTTCAAGCTATAATGAAGTTGAATTGTTTCTCTTCGAAGCAATAAAATAGGAGCGAAGATTTTGAATCGCCACAATGGAGGTACGGGGTATCGCAATTTTTAGCAGTCTATTGTGACTTACCCATGCTTTTCGTTTGGAAAGAAAATTATTTTTATGACCTCTCTCTCCCGCCCCCTTCTCTCTCCTTATATTTTATTTCTATTCTTCCGACTGAAAATGGCTCAGTTTTGAGCCGAAACGTCTCAGATTTTTATGTGTAATTTTTGGCCTTGTTTCCCGTTTTTTCTCCTATATTTTTGGCATCAACATAGTCATGCAGGCTGCTGTTTTAGAAATTTTAACCTACTTCTCTCTCCCTCCATATCTATAATTTATGAACGCACCTGTAGGAGAGATCTCCGGCGGAGAACACGTAGCTCATGGAGGAAGCCACCGAAAAGGAAATGACAAGTCCGAGTAAGATGTTGCTGATGAACTGGTATTTGCCATACTCGCCCAAATCGTAGCAGATGCTGTCCAAGTCAATTTCCATACTTTACACTTCTAAAACGCACACAAATTATAATGATAATCGAGGCATGCACTATCGAAATCACGGGCGCACTTCTTGACGAAACTGAGATAAAGCCTTGAATTCACAGTAGTTCTCTGAGAATTTTTTCGTGACAGAGGACAGATACAGATTTTAAATTATGGATACGGTTAGTATCAACTCAAACACTATTTAATCTCTCCGTTTAGTTTATCATTTTGTTAAACAATGAAAAAAATTCAATGAGCTGTAGCGTAGCTGTGCAACGTCTCTGAACATTGTCTACCTTATTGAAGGAGGCGTATGCAACACGCGTTCAAATTGCTTATTTAATGAAGTAGTATAAAATTATTTTTTTTTTTTTAAGAAAAAAAATTAAAAAAGTAAGCACACTGATTTTTTAGCGAGTATGAAATTCATCTGGATCGTTTCTGTTGAATATGAACGAAGAAATTTGGTTAAACGTGGGAAAAAATTTATTTCGATATTTTAAAATATTTTTTGAAAAATACCGCACTGAAACCTGCATATACAATTCAAGGAGAGGTTTACTGTATTCGAAAATGAACAAATGAAAAACTCGAACATTTCAAATACTTTGACACACTCCGATACATTTTTTATTTTTAACTGTGGTGATATTATTATTTTTAATGATTATTATTTTTAGTGTACGTTAAAATTATATTTTAAGCTTTTTTGCTAAATTTTAAGACAAACATTCCGTGATTATAAATGAAACTGTCGAACAACTGATTGTGAGCACAGAACTGATACGAGTGTCAATGACCACAGCCTACGTAATTACGGAATGTGTGATAATTGCAAGGTGAAGTACTCAATTTATATCCAAATAATGTGCCTCACGAACTTCACCTAATAAACTCTGAGGTGTGGGTTGAGTGATCGAATGTAAGACAAGATATGGTTGAGTCGCCTCGCAGATAAAAGGTCGTTATGATAAGAAGCTGAACAACGAGATAGACTCCAGAAAATCAAATCTGCTTAACAATTGTAATATTGGCTTTTTAGTTATTATCTCATATGGCACGATGTTTGCAGAGGGGAAAGGCACTGCTTAATTTACTGAGGTAGCAAACCTTGCTTTCCCTTTTTAAAACACCAAAGATTTTATAAGAGTGGGAAATAGAAGGTATTGGAAAATGCATGAGCGTTTAATATAATTTAGTAGATCTATTCAAGACAATAATATGGACTGCATTTTGCATTTTGGGACTATAAATTCTGACTCATCTGAAAAAACATTTATGTGCATAGGGAAACCAATGGCACATACGTTATTTTTAAACCGGGCCAGAGTTTATAGTTCCAAATTGCAAAATGCAGTCCAATTAGGGAACATCCATCATATCGGCGCACAGTGGCTCGAGTTAATTAGAGGTTGGACATGACATTTTTTACTAAAACTGCAAATTTTAATGTATAATTCGTCACATTTTATATTTCGAGGAATGCTTTCAGAGGGAAATTTCACGGGAAAAAACAATAGAACCATTTTAAAAACCTCAAAGTTTTATAAAAACGGAGTCTAAGATTTTAAATTTTCCAAATTTTGTCCGACCTCTCCTATTGACTCAAACCACCGTGCAGCGCGGTGAGTCTACCAGATCAAGTATCTCGGTTTGCGACGTTGCAGACTTCCCATCATACTTTATTCTTTTAATAGACTTCTCAACGTCAGCTCTTAAGGCTTCCGCTATTTTTCCTCTTCGCGAAGATATAGTGTACAAATTTCAAGGAATGATATTGGTCTGGCCTCCGTCCAAAAAATTAAATGTTCGGTCAAGAACTCGATTTTTGAAAAACTAAGGTTTTCCTTCATTTTTGCGAGATACCACATATCAACTCCAGAGTCTAAATAGTTGCGCGCTTGATTTTCTCATTAAACGATGCGAACATAATATTTACATTCATAAATGTCGGTAATTTAAGACGCAAAAAAAAGTCAGATTTGCCTTCATTCGCCACGAAGTCGCACTAAAATCGCGGATCAAATACAAGGTTTACGAACATTCCATGAACATTTAATACAAGTTAGTAGATCTACAGGAATTAATAATTGAAACGGTCATTCCCAAAAAGACTTAAGCGCCACATATGACAAAACAAGAAAAACAGTTGAAACTGCATTATACAACCTGTTTTAAACCGCAGATTAATAAGAGTGTCGTTAGTTAATTCATTGCTTTAATATTTTAGAGCTCTGAGATTTAGAACAGGTAATTGAGATGGTGACCCCGATTTTATACTTGTCACACATGCACGGGAAAAAATGGAACGTTGATGTAGCATTCATACTGTTAAAAACATGTGCAACAAGCACCAAATGCTAATTTCGCACGTAAAAAAAAAAAAAATTCTAACTCAAAATTGAAATGGTTCATTTAACCATGGACGGAGTTAATATGCGCATTTTTAAGCGTTCAACGTTAGTAGTGTACGCTCTTTCCCGTCGTTTTGCAGCGGGTATGTTACTAATGGATCCGTTGGTAAAGGCCCGCACTGCTCCATGGAAATTGGTGCCATTTTTCGTGGCGGGAAGCAATATATCTAGTTTCTCAATTTTATTTATGTACCATTTCTACCTTTTTTCTCCTATTTTGTCCACTTTATGTAATGCCTGTAGGCGTGTCTTTGAGAAATTAATATCTTAAATGCTAATTTTACACGTAAAAAAAAATTCTAACTCAAAATTGAAGTGGTTCATTTAACCATGGACGGAGTTAATATGACATTTTTTTATTTTTTTTGTAAACCAGCGCTTATACTTGTCGCACATATTTTTACCATTATGAATGCTGAAGCAACATTCAATTTTTTCCGTGTGTTTACAACATTATACATGCTAAAGCAACATTCAATTGTTTCCTCGCGAGGCAAGTATGCCGTAGAGTACCTTTATAGACAGAGTATGGCCATTTATGTGCCGGTTTTTCATTGGTTGCGAGAAAATAGGCTGACACGATGTTCTTACGGCCGTAAATAAACAAACAAAATGGCTGTTATCAGCAAGCAAATTTGAAGTTATGCACATCTTACATACTCCTGTGATAAAGGAGAAAGGCAATTTGACAGTGTTTTCATGTGTTTTTTGTGAGTTATTCGTAGATATGCCAGTTGAAATTGTTACTGCCGTATAATTGAAATTTTTGTCAAATTTTAACTTCTTATCGATGTTACGGTGTGCCGCCATCTTGTTTGTTTATATACGGCCGTAAGAGCATCATGAAGCCTAAAAACTCGTTGACCAATCAAAAAGCGGCACAGTTTTCCTGAAGTAAAAAGATACGAATGGCCATACTTAGAGTACCTATATTGAGAGAGTATGGCCACTGGAGTTACCACCTCTGATTGGCTCAGCCATTTTAGCCTGAATGGAGCCCTTAGGACCCAAAAATGGCGGACGCCATAAAGTTAATGTAATGCAAAATGATTCAAAATGTAGTTGTCTTTGCTTATCGTAACGAGAACTTTACCCAAATGCACTATTACGACTTTTTTACATATTTTTAAGGCTAATCGTGTGCAATTTTTGAGAAAAATGATCTTAGATGTAGTAAGGTTGGCAGCAAGTGCGTTTGGTGATAACCGTCAAAAGTTGGCAATGACCCCCCTCCCATCCTCAAAAACTAAAACAAAGCACCGCCATTTTTGGGTCCTAAGCCTCTCCATGGGACCCAGTGGCCATACTCTCTTAATATAGGTACTCTAGCCATACTCTGCTCATACATAGGTACTCTAGCCATACTCTGTCTGTAAAGGTACTCTAGAATGCCGTGCTAGACCTGGCAACAGCGCTAGACACCGTCGGAAAACGGACGAAGGGGGCGCGAACAGAGTTGAATCAAGTTTCCGTTGCTTAATGCGCCCATAAATCAGCCGTTTTTTCCAGGAGTCATCATGAGGTGTCTCGTAATTGGGAAATCCAGGCCCGGGCGCCGAAGGGACAAGGACAGTTTTTCAGGGTCGCCGTCGCGACGAGGGTGGCTAAGTGGGGGCGGGGGGGGGGCGGAAAGCGCGCGGAGCTTTTACTCTTGATGGATGCGATTGTAGATCTTTGTTTGCGGCCATCTGAGCCCTGCGCCGGCTCCTGGGTAGAAACAGCGAACCTCCGCGGACTTTCCGTTGGGACTTGCGAGGTTCCCACTCGAGAGGGTGGTATTTGCGTCCGTAAATAGGGTCTCTTAATGAGGAGGAGGGTTGTAGGATATGGTTCATGATTTCTCTCTGACACTCGAGGAATTCCTACAGGCGAGGAAAGAGTCGTGGTGCGAGGAGTGCAGGGTTTGCGTTTTGTAATTTTTCGAGGGAGGGTTTTTTGATTGAGGGGGTGAGATTTTTTCCATTTTACTTGAACCTAAATTTCTTCGTATATATCCCCATAAATTTTCAATTATCGATACGAACCTTCAATACATCGAAACTTTAAAATCAAAAATAGGAATTCCTACAGACAGACAAGGAAAGAGTCCTGGTAGGGTTTGCGATTTGTAATTTTTCGAGGGAGGGTTTTTTATGAAGGGGGTGGGATTCTTCTTATTAAGTTGTTTCTTCTTTCATTTTAGATAAACCTGAGTGTTGTAGTGACCATGATTAATTGGACGTATTTCTGCCAAACGGAACTATGTGCATTAAGACATGAGCCCTGAGACCCATAAGAATATATGCTGAACAGGGCTCCCGTCATAATGCACATAGTTCCGTTTGGCAGAAATACGTCCAATTAAGGCAGTCGACCGTATGGACCTTACTTTGGAAAAAATATCTTGGATCCTGAGTCCAAACTCTAAAAAAATATGACAAGAGAAACTCTCTTAATTCGATCGGATTCTTGCTTGAATTGAGAGCCAGGCCTTTTAATTCAAGCGGATTGAATCAAATCAACAGAATATTCACAGTTACACCAATGAAAAAAAAAGACTGCATGACCAAAAGAGCATTATTTCAATTGAGATTTATAATGCTGAAAAAGTTGCAGGATCAAAAGTCAAGGTATTTCGATGGACGCCATATTTTGTGTCAGAACGGCATGCGCATCAATAGGCTCCATTTCTTCAGTTACTCGTCATTTTTCTCAAATTTTGAGATCGCAATTCTGTTTTCAGGATAATAAAGCACTCACTTACCAATTTTGACAAAGAAATTCAACGTAATAAAGGCGTGTTTTTTTTTAGAGAGAAAATATCGCATTCGAGTGCAGTTTCGAATTTGGTGTCGAGAAATTGATTAATCAATTTTGATTTCGATTTTTTGCGATATCTTGGCTGAAAAGGGCAATTTTTTCGTAAACTTCCCAAGAAATCTTAATTTATCGATAGAAGTCTTCGATAAATTGAAATTTGTAACATAAAAAATAAATTTCGGGTAAAAGTATACATTGGGCGACAATTTTACACCTGCAAAAAGTACCTAGACGGTGAAACCACCAAACCACATATCTGGGTTTGCGACGTTGTAGGCTTCCTGTCATATTTTATAAACAGCCAACGTGAATTCTTGAAAACTTACGTGTTTTTCTTTTCTGTGCCAGGAAAACTGTGTGAAAATTTCAAGAGAAGATAATGATTTGTTCTTCTTAAAAAAATTAAAATAGGAGCAAGATTTTTAAACACCGCAATTGAGATACGTGGTCTGGTAGTTCTACCATTGACACACAAATGTCGACAACTGAGGTACGATTCATATGAGTTTACAAAATGAATTCGGTAAGGCCACTCCACGCGAAATCCAAAGACTGTTGCTTGACCACCCTCGATTTTCCTTTAGGTATATTTTTATTATTTGTTATAATATCCAATAGAAGCACAAAAACCATTTTCCAAACTTTTTCAACCACCCTGCAGGCTAATAATTGAATTTCATAAACAAAGCTATGGACAAAGAAGACATAACTGCCATGCTAA